GGGTACATAGTGAGCAGGGAAGGGACTGTGAGCGTGGTGGGGGGGAAGGGACGGGGACTGATGTGACGGCTTGTGTATAGTTGGTACAACGCTACGTCACATGTGGGTGATATGCAGATGATACAATGTAGCGTGTTCGGGATGGAGTCATATCTCATTTCCTGTGTTTACAGACAGCAGCACCCTGCTGGGGGAGCAGCACGGCACCAACTACGGGACCCTCCCGGCCTGGAAATCCCAGACGTGTATGGTGAGTACGCCGATGTGGTCATGTGACCCCCTTCTTGTGATCATGTGACCCCCTTCTTGTGATCATGTGACCCCCTTCTTGTGATCATGTGACCCCCTTATTCTGATCATGTGACCCCCTTCTTGTGATCATGTGACCCCCTTCTTGTGATCATGTGACCCCCTTCTTGTGATCATGTGACCCCCTTCTTGTGATCATGTGACCCGCCCAGAGAAATGACAGTTTAACAGATATCTGGAATACCGGAGAACGGGGGAGGAAGCTGCTGGACCATCATGGCCGCCACCCCGGCGTCCTCTCCCATCATCATCCTCCATAATTGGGGGCGCGGCGCCGGTTTGGTGCGTCCAATAGCCGCCGTCCAGCTGCCGCCGTCTCCGAATTCTCCATCTCTGGGCTGACGTCACGTCTTTTTGTTTCTTCCTGCGACAGGAGCTGTGCGGCTATCGGAAGGTGACGGCATGGACGGTGCTGTGCTACCTGTGCTGTGCGCTGACCCTCGGCCTCCTCTTCATCGTCCTCTACTGGAAACCGCGATTCTACATACTGGTCACACACCGCCGCTGCCCGCTGGCTGAGGCCGACACCATCATCCTAAAGGTGGGGCGCGCACGCTCCAGGCATCCTCTAGCCCAGGGGTGGCCAAACTCCGCCCCTCCAGCTGCGGTGGAACTACAAACCCCATGATGCATCTCTCTTCAGCAGCCATGTCTGTGGCTTTGAGAATCTTGCAATGCCTCGTGGGATTTGTAGTTCCACCGCAGCTGTAGGGCCGGCTACCCCTGATTTAGCCCTTTCCTCCCCAGCCTGACTGTCCCTGGCCCCGCCTCTTCCATTCATTGGCTTTCAGTTCTGTCAATCATGGAGGCTCGGCATCACATGTGGGTGTTACCTCGGGCTGTCTGTATGCAAATACTCTGCCTAGGACTGCCCACTCTTCCAGACTGACACACAACCATCAAGGCATTGTGATATTTGCATAGCTCCTCCCAGGAGCCCGCCCACTGCTTGTATCAGGACTGAGGGCTCTCGAGAGGAGTACTGAGGCAGGGTGCTGTGACGGTTTCAGGTGGCTATGAATATATATTTGTATTTCCTTTATTTAGGATGCGTTTGGACAGACGTGTATCGTGGCGGTGCGGACGGAGCTCAGCGTAGATCCCAGGTAAGCTGTGACGTGGCCTCGGTGGGATGGCGGTCTTCCTTGGCAGCGTTGGAGTTTCACTTTACGTTGTCTCGTCCCCCCGGCAGTCTGCACGGCGACAGCGCTGGACATGGCGGCGCAGCGGTGGGCGGCAGCGTCATCCTGGGTGTCGGCGAGGAAGATGAATTCAAGGACACCATCCATCTGCACTACAAGGAGGAGGAGGTGAGGAGGGGAAGCGGCCCCTTTAATTTCTCTTCTATGCTTCAAGTGGATTGGCCAAAATATAAAGAGCGATGCGCCATTTCCGGGGGGAAGGAGGAGTGCAACCTCCCTCCAAAAATGGCGTCTGATACATCCTCAGTCTGTCCGCCCCCTCCCCCCGATGGGCTGAGTCTGGGGATTGCTGACCACTGACCTTCGACCTTCTTCCTTCCAGAAACACGGACTGAGATACTTTGTGTTTGAAGGAATGAGATACATATGGAACGAGCGCACCAAAGACTTCATCAAGGTCAGGTAAGAGAGCCCGGGGACCGCTAGCAGGGGGGTCAGGTGAGATATGACAGCGGGGGGCCCCCAAATCTGCCTCCTGCACCCAGGGGGTACAAAACAATGGGCGGAGCTCCACTTTCATAGGTTACCTCCAATATGGCGGCTGAAAAGTTCTTCCCTCTTCCTCTCCTCTGTTCTTCCTCTCCACTGTTCTTCCTCTCCTCTGTTCTTCCTCTCCTCTCCTCCTGTTCTTCCTCTCCTCTCCTCTGTTCTTCCTCTCCTCTGTTCTTCCTCTCCTCTGTTCTTCCTCTCCTCTCCTCCTGTTCTTCCTCTCCTCTCCTCCTGTTCTTCCTCTCCTCTCCTC